CACTTGGCAATTTCGTCTGGTTTTAAGAAGCACGCGATTAATTAGCCAACACTGCTTGAAGCATACTAGAAAACGAGTACACCTCTAAATGTATATAGGACCAAATTCCTAGAATAAGTACAAAAACGAATATGTATAGTTTTACTTGTTAATTTTTGTGGCATCGTAAATTACGACCCAGCTCGACATTATATGGCCAAGTTCTATGTTATATATATATATATATATATATATATATATATATATATATATATATATAACCGCTCATATTACAGAAGGGGAACATTGAAGCAACGGTAAAGTTATTTTCATGTGACTTATAGGTCATGAGTTTGAGCCGTGGGAACAGCCACTAATGCTTGCATTACAGTAGGTTGTCTACATCACACCCCTTAAGGTACAACCGTGCAACTCGTCCCTAGAACCTGCGTGAACGCGAAAGCTTTGAGCACTAGGTTGTCCTTTTTAACTTCTCATATATACTATAATGAAAGCAAAATAAATACAAGTAGTATTCTCATTAGAGGAGGGAGATACCATTGGCAGAAAAGCATTTTTGGGAATGATCAAAGAGAAAGAAGGACAAGCGCAAAGTCCATAAATATATTGACACAAAAGATTACTTAAATGACTTTCTGTTATAAAACAATAAAAGAAGAAGAGCATTGCAGAGAAAAAAAGAGAGAGAATTCTTATTAATTTTGGAGTGAATTACAATGGAATATGACCCTTCTATTTATAGGGGAAAAGTGACTTAGCCACCAAGTAACAAGCCCTATAATCTCTCTAAATATAAACATTCACCCTAAATATAATTATATTTATAACATTCCCCCTTGAATGTCTACTCAATAAATAATGTGCCTCGTTAAAACTTGAACTAAAATAAAACCCAGTGGGAAATAATTCTAGTGAAGGAAAAGAGTACACATGTTTAAAAATACGCCTTTTGGTTGCCTCATTAAAAACCTTGCAAGGAAAACTCAGTGGGACAAAATCTTGTTAGGGAAAAAAAGTACAACGCGTATTAACTCCCCCCGATGAGAGCTTCAATTCACATCTTTAAACTTGTGCATTCCAATCTTGTGTACCATCTTCAAAATATCGTTAGTAGAGATTCGACAAACAAATCAGCCATATTAACTTGAACAAATTTGTTTCACCTTGAAATCATCATCCCTAGTAGATGTATTGTCTTCATATGATCTTGTTGGGATCATCATTTCAATTTCTTCACATATGGGTGAAAACTCTTGCTATCATATTATCATGCTTATAGTTATAGCAAGATACATTTGTGCACAAATTGCACTAAGGAAGTGGTACTTCAAGATCAAGAATTGTATATGCTTCAAGCAATTTAAATACTCCAGGGATTATCATATAAGCATAGTCAAATAAGCCATATAAATAGACTTTAGATGCATATCAAGTTTTTTATGTTATTCCAGACATATAAGATACATGAAGTGATTGCAAACACACCATTGACTTTAGAGTGTTTGAACTTCATGTCCAAAACTACATGTCTTTCATATGAAACCAATTCTATTCGGATTGTGTCTCTTTCATTTGGCTAATATTTTTGTGTCCGATCCCCATCTATACTTAGCGCTATCATAGATATCGCCGGCGAACATTTTATATCGGTTCAAATATTTTTTCATAAAGACATAACATAGAGATCTCTTCCTTCATATTTTCATGTACCTAAACCTCTCCTGAGATTTTATGAAATATTATGTCATGTGATCTTCTAGATCACTTGCCTCCTTTATTATGATCATTTTGATCATTTGCTCATCTTCTTTATCAAGAATTTTATTTGAAACCGATTTGTTTATACGCTTTAAGCGTACCATAGATTTTGTCCTTCTAGGACATATTCTAATAAGAACATTTTCAGAGAGAATATAGTTGCTTTCTTTGGGTTAGCAAATGCGTCTGGCATGCTTTTCAATATATTGCAAATGAATTATCTTTTTATAAATTTCAGGTTCATATTATCTTATTCAATGATCTAGATGTAGAAATGATAATTCATTCCACGTAACTTTTTCTCAACTGTTTATCTTGTCTCCCCCTCATGTTAGAAAAACTAACTTTCTTCCTCAATTTTGGGAACCCATCTTTGTACATTATGGTGTTAATGAAAATATACACTGCATATCAATAATAATAAGATGGAATTATTTGATTTCTGACCCTGAACCACTTGTGAGGGGGGAATGTAATATACTTTCGTATATAACGTATATCAAACTGATATAGATAACTTTGTTCTCATTAGCAACAATCTAGCTATAAAATGGAGGCACTCTTTAAATTATTTTGCTAAATCAACTGTGATATAAACCAACTTATCAAGATGAATTGTTGATGATAGGCTATAATTGCATATTTTAGTCGCTTATTACACTCGAATTTACTGCACTTTAATTGAGTTTTCCCTTTAATCGCTAGTGTTTTGCACTAATTGTGTGTTTTATGCCTTGTAGGTGTGATTCCGAGCTATATAGATGTTATGGAATGAATTTAAGTGATTTGAAGCTTTGAAGTCTGAGTAAAAGCTCAAGAAATTAAGCCGGGATCGTGTTCGGGGGTCAAATTTGATAATTAAGTACGAACGAAGACTTGAGGAGGCATATTGCGCACTGTCTAGTAAAATAGACATAACTTTTTGCTCAGAACTCCATTTGGGCTCCACAATATATGGTTGGAAAGCTAACTCAAAGGGATACAACTTTCATGTTTTAGGGATACAACTTTCATGCGACCGCGGCAGAACCGCGGTAAAAGATGGTCGCGGACAACTAAAGAATCAGAGGGGATGTTTGGCCGCGGTTCCACCGCGACCGCGGCAAAACCGCGGCAGGAGGCGGAAATTTCAGGGACTTATGTGCAAAACACGGGATTTTAAACCCTAAACCCTATATTAAACCAAGGAAGCCGGCCAAGAAAAGGGAGGGGGACATGTTTTGGACACAAATTAGACCTAAGGAGGCAGGAGACACTACTTTAGGGTTAGACAACACCCTTGGAGGCAAGAACATATTGGGAGCAAGGCGGAGAATTCTTCTACGAGTTTTTTCCTTCCTCTTCCTATTTTTAATTGTTGGTTATGACTTTTAGTATTGTAGTTTTACATACTATTATGAATAGCTAATTTGCTATCTAGAGTTTTGATAGAACCTTTTGTAGGATAAATTCTTGTTATGTTTTTATATAATTGAGCCATAGCTTTTCTCTATTTGTTCAACTACGTTTATATTCTGGTTGATTGAAGAGCTCTCAATTAGCTGTGCCTATTTAGTATGCATAACTCGGGAGAAAGTGCATATTTAGGTAATTGTTGAACAACACCACTCCCAGAGTATATGAGGGATCAATAACCGAGGGTTTAAAGGCGGGATTAGGGATAACGTAGCCTTGGGTGCGATCTGAAGTGAGCTGTACTAAAAGCCAGCTAGCGTAGCTCGGGAGAGTGCGTCTAGTAAATTGTCGTAATTACTCGGGAGAGATTTACGGTAATAAGAGTGCTCATGATCGGTAGAGAATACTTAGGCGAAATTATAGAAGACATAGCGGGAAGGATTCCGACAATAACGGAAATCATAACTCTAGACCTCCTTAATCTTTTCTCTAACCCTCAGTGTCGTTAGTTGTTAATTTACTATTTTAATTTGTTAGTTAATTAGTTAAACACAAGAATCTTAATATCTATAAGTTAGGAATTGTTCAAGCTTGTCTTCTTGGTGATAGTGAACAACTGTAGCTAAACCTTAGTTCTCTGTGGGATTCGACTCCGGACTTGTAAACCGGATTATATTTGCAACGACCGCATTGTCCTTTTTATAAGGCATAGTTGGGCGTGATCAATTGTCTTGAATAGAAAATCTGGAAATTATATGTTCTAAATTAAATTATTGAGCAAGTTACCTCACAAACACCAGGTTGCGGGCTAATATTAATTGCACATGTAACCATCTCATAGATGCATCTTATGTGGTATACATGGCAGGTGAATGGGCCCATATTCACCTTTGATATTTCCAGCATTCATGGGATTCAATCCCACTTTTTAATTGGTCTATTAATTAATGAGAACAACATAAGAGAATTCGTATAGATATTTTTAGTTCTTTAATATTTACCCATGTGAATTCTCTTTTATTTTTGCACATCATACTTAAATTAACATGGCTAAACCAATTATGCCAACTGAATAAATTATCAATATTGATAAAGTTCAGGTTTACACCATGACGTGTGCAATTATCAATAAACTCCAAGTTTATTATGATATGAGTTTTTATATCAATAAGCATCCACTTTATTGTGGTATTCTTTTATTTGTGTAGTACATAGTGGAGAATAAAGCGGGTAACTTTTCACATATATATTACCCCCCTACAAGTTGTAGTAATAGAAGATATTAAATCTTTCCTTTATTTATAGTCTCAATATAATCAACCGCTTTCGCGAATACTTTAGAAACTCAATGCCTTATTGATAATTAATTTTATTCCTCCAAAAGAGTAATAATTGGCTCTTTCAGAGCTCTCAATTATTTTGGTACTACCACATATTCATAAACATCCATATGGTGAATATCTCTTTTAAGGAGAAAGTTATACCATACAATTATTTTGGTACTAACAATACAAAGCTTGGTGGACGATAAATCAGACGACAAAAGAAAAATATACTAAACTAAGCATAATAGTTTATAATGGCTTGTGGATATTTTTTGTGCTCTTGTGAGAAGCAGAGATCCTTAATTTATAGATGTACAAAACTTGTCTTCCAAGAAAAGGATAAGACATATTAAGGAGATTTAATCATTTTAGGAGTCTTTTTCCATTCTTTCAAAAAAAAAAAAAAGTCCTAATAGATTAGAAATTCAGGGCAAATCCTAACAGATACCTTACTTCGTCTTTAATTCATTTATCTAATATTCTTTACTATTTGAGTTGAATCAAACCACGTATCCTTAAAACTGCGTATAAATTTAATTGTTATCCAATTTCGGAGTAAACACCTTTTCTTTACACTAGAAACAGTCAAAAACCTACAAAGGCCAATATTTTCGGATGAAAAGGCTCCCTAATCCCTATCACAATTACAAGAAGAAGAAAAATCTATAACGATCGCATCTAATAGCTTGATATATAATGAAGTATATAGGTCAAAAACCATACAATGTTATAACTAGAATAATCTTCTGATACAATCTTCAACACGCATCTACATTGACTTGCCATCTTCAATAATCAATATTTCACTATCTTTGAAACTATATAGTAGCAGGAAGAACAGTACTGGATCCTGAAGAGTTAACAAAGAAGCTCCAGCTGCTAGATCCAGGTGTACTATATTGTGAACTTTGCTTGCTATTGTCGTATGGTGATGCACTCAGTATCCTGAATTACAAAATAAACAAATCTCTAACTTAGTATTGGAGTTTCCTAACACATCCAGCAAAATTCAAAATATAAACAGGACACGCAAAATTAAATAGATGTCTATTTAAAGGATTTAAGTTGTATGCACTAATATTGTACGTCAGTCGAAAAGTTTAAACTATTAGTGCAGTTTAACTGACTATAGCATGTTAAGATATTTATAGAGTTATCATATTAGGTTAATATAAAAGGTTAGATGTCGTTATAGGTAAACTTAACCTGATGATGCAAAAGATTTATATATACGTAGTGTATAAAACCAGCTTACCTTTCCTTGCGCTTCTCCAAGAACCGAGCCAAGGATGCTTTGCGAGCCTGAGGTACAGCTGCAGAAAAGAAAAAGGGGTGTCAATGTATTGAATAACAAGCACATAATGCTAAATACTAACAAACACATAAGTGCCAGAAAAGCTTTTGCTTTAAAAAAATTCACTACATAAACCACCAAATGTACCTGATAATGTATGGCTAGGAGGATGAGATTCCTGAGAACGGACGACTTTAGATGGCTCCGTTTTGTTAGAGGGAGAATTAGTCAGGACTCCGATTGACCTGATACTCATAGTTATTTGATTCGTATTATTAGACACTCCAATAGATTGAGAGGCGCCGTGTGTGGTTATAGGAATGGGACTGGAAAAACTAGGCGATGTAGTTCTATGGCATTTGTTTCCAACAAAAGCATCAACAGAAGAAGATTTAGGAATTCTCTGAACTGGAGATGCAGTAGATGTTGTACTTGGAATACCAGCTGGTTGTGCATTGCCAGCAAGTAACATGATAGCTTGAGCCTGAAATGCCAAACAAGTATAAATGTCTGTTAAAAATCAAAACTAACAACAAATTGATGACACTAACATTATCTGATAGAGCATTTACCTTCTCTGGAGAAATATTGTCGTAAACACTGACTGAACCAGCATAAAAGATGGTCAGCTGAGCAGGTCCTGCTGAAGTCTTGGGAGCACCCCTGAATCACAGATATCAATTTCTAGCTCAGTAAAATATCATGATATTTGTGTGATTAAAAGGGCAACCTAGTGTATTAAGCTCCCGCTATGTGGAGGTCCAGGGAAGGGTTGGACCACAAGGGTCTATTGTACGCAGTCTTACCCTGCATTTCTGCAAGAGGCTGTTTCCACAATTCGAACCCATGACCTCGTGGTCGCATGGCAGCAACTTCACCAGTTACGCCAAGACTTCCCTTATGTGATTACAATATAAATATGTGTTGTTCTTCTTGAAATCGTATATATATAAATAATGAAACAGAGAAAGTACTTTCCTAAATTAACTTTTATAAAGGCTGGCTATAGCTAGTAACATACCTCAATTCAGTAGTGCCCACCACTCCATTGCGATTAGGAAGAATGGAAATGGAGCTTGATATTTGGGCACCTCTAGCAGGATTTTGATTTATTATAGAAATCAAATTCTGTCCAGCAGGAGAAATTAAGGGCTGACGACCATGCATATTTCTCGTAGATACAGAAATCTGATGTGTTTGATTAGCAACTGGGAGTACTCTGACTTCATGAGATTGCTGAACTGAATTTGTACCAATTTTATGTGGAGGGTAAGTTGTCATTGTATAGTTCGTTATCCCTTGCTTTTCAAGCATCAAATTTTTCTGAAATTTACAGGAATAGTCAGTCTTCTCTGTATCGTTCCAATTTTATACATAAATACAGGTGGCGTTATGAGATAACAGGTTACCAAGCTCCATAAACAAACCTGTGTTACAGCAGTGTATGGTCGATAATTCGAGTCAACAGCTTCATGACTTGTGGTTATAGTAACCAATCCAGCTGATGCAAGAGAATCAAAACCAGTCTTAGGAGTATTCCCTTGAGCATTTTTGAAAGAAAGGTATTGAGGAAGAGCCTTGTTAGAGAATGACCTCTGCAATATAGCCGAAATTCTGGCCATTGCTGCAAAATTATAACACAAGAGAATAAGATACACAAGTTTAATAGTCGCATCAACAACAACAACACATCCAGTGAAATCCGACAGGTAGGGTGTGGTGAGCGTAGAGTGTACGTAGACCTTCCTTGTGGAGGTAGAGAGGCTATTCCAAATAAACTCTTAGCTCAAAGACTTAATAGTCGCATCAATTAGTTAGAAATGGCTTTACGTATACCAACTGGATTTGACTTATATACACCAAAAATTAATTCATGTAGTTATTTTTAGGTAACGCAATTGTGTATGTGTATACGGTAGAATCGGGGCTACCCGATTTCATTCTTTGGTCGAGATAGGAATGTCGCGTCAAGGAGCTAGGACGTCATTGAAGCTTCTTTCCGGACTGAGGTCGACGTCAATCGCGGTTAGAAAGAGACAGACTACGAGTGACCTCGGTATAGCTTGATAACGGAAAAGGCGAGATATCCGCGATTGATCGAGGATCGTGGCGTGAATCTCGGAACGGATCAATCTAAGGCGGTTAATCAGATGTTAATATGGTTTCCCACTACAATTAGAAGTGTACTTATTTAGGACTCTTCTATTATATAAAGAGGGATCCCATTCATTTGTAATGATCATTGTTCACTAAGAAGAATATATACACTCGTTACTTTCTTGCTATTACACTTACTGCTCATCAGAGTTGCTTTATCATTTATTGTTCTTACTATTCCACCTCTAGACTATCTCGAGTCAAGGTCGAGACCTTGCTAGCATATTGGTTTGATTTATTTTATTCACTAATTTCTTGCTTATCAATTGGTATTGGATGAAATCACATATCCTTAAAACCACAATATAAGTTTAATTGTTATCCGAATTTGAGGGTAAAACAGTATGAAAAATTACAATATGAGTATATAGAGGGTAAATTCATTAGAAATACCAAGTTCAACTATTAACTCTTATCATATATGCAGATTTGATGTACTAATTACAATAAACAACAACTCGGTAAATTGGACAAGTGCAGGTTCAGTAAAGACAGACGAGGAGCCAACACATCAAACAATATAATAATGTCAGAACCTCTGTAACTTTGGCAAGCACTTTTTCCCTTTTACTAGTACTAGTATAGTAATAAAAAAATGCTACTCAGATGAATAATCCAAAGTGCTCTATTAATGCAGCTGAAGAAAGGAGGGTTAACATGTGCGTCCAATTTAAATATAGGCTGCTAAGAGCATCTGATGCGAGATTATCAAATATAATAGGCAGAATAGCCTAATAAACACTTCTACTTGTTCTGTTTTGTCATCCCGGTTCCGATACTCTATGAAGTTTCATCTAGATACTCGTAGTTTTTAAAATACATTACTTTAAACCCCTCTGACCGTTTGACCAAGCATATGTGGCATATGCATTGCTGAGTTGGATAAAATATGTGACTGCACGCTCTAAAAAGCGAGTAACTTTGATGATTCCAATTAAAAATTAACAAAAAATGAAAATAAAATAAAATAATTATTCCTACACAAATATTCGATCTCCACCGAGGTCTTTTCCCCCTCCCCACTTTTCATTCTTTCTCGTCCATCCCCCTCCCCCGTCTCTGCCTCTCTGTATCTCTTTACACACACATGCACAAAGCAATATTTAAATTGATGAGAAAGAAAATTGAGGTGTGTTAACAAGTATGTTTGAGCACAGTGGAGAAAGCTGGGCTTCAATCAAAGCTGAAGAACTAGGCTTTACGCTGTCCTCCATAGAGAAGTTAGGAGTATTTTTAAAGGCCGAAGAACTGGGGCTGCTCAATTTGCTGGAGAAGGCCGCGAGTTTCTCGCCTTCTGCTTTGGCATCGGCGGCGCTTCCTATTTTAGTGGCGGCTATACTAGCAATCGTGTTGATAACCGATGATTCTGCGGCTCTTGTGGCGGTCCAGGTCAAGATCTAAAGATATTGGGCAGAGAATTTACAGGGATTCCTTTGAATATTTTTGTTATATCTAATTTTAATATAAGCGAACAAAATGAATTGTCATTGCGTTTCTATGAAAAATGGCAGATCTGGTTTTGAAAATATTAGAAAGGGAAATGGTAGATTTTGATTCACAATTGAAAGAGAATAGGAGATGAAATGGCAGATGGCTGGTATTCAAAAAGAAGAAGGCCGAAGGTGCTTCTGAGGGAGAAAAAATGATCTACTTCAGAATCCAATTATTTAAAATATTTTTTATGAAGAAAATAATGACGTGGAATATTTTTATGTGACATGGATAATACAGCAAGGCGATTGAGGAACACGCATAGTCATAAGGGTTTAAAATATTACTTTTAAATAAGTAAAAGTGGCTGGATGAAACTTAATAAAGTATCGGGACCGGAATGACAAAGCGGGATAAGTAGAAGTGTCTAACAGGCTATTTTGCCAATATAATATTGTGTTTATTAATGCAAGATCTGGTCAAAAGAGTTAAACAAATTATTTTATGCATTTTGGTCTGCATTCTAAATCTAGTGGTGGGCAACGTAAGTGTTTATTCATGTACGTTAAATATAAAAAAGCATCAGCACAATGATCATCTTATTTTAATCTTTAATTTAAGTTTTATGCACGGTAAATATAAAAAAAAATATCTACATAATTATATTAGCTCACCTATAACGTAAATAATTACTAACATGCTATAATAGATTAAGTTACACAAAAAAAAATATAATATCAACCTACAAAACTTAAATCACTGGTGCATGTTATAAGTGTTATGTCGAAGAAGAGGCAAACCGAAAATAAAGAAGGAAAATATAATTCTTCCATATTTGGCTAGTTCTTTTTCTTGTTGGAAAAGGTTTGGACTTCTATAAATTGAGGATCCTCCTTCTCATTCGTTAGCATCCACAATGTAGCCATTGGGGGCTTGAGAGTCTTGTTTAGGGGGAGACTTTACGGGACAAGTGTTAGTGTGTCAGTTGTGTTTGCCTCTTCGTGAGGTTGTTCTCTCGATATTTTGTACTCTCTTTTTATTATAGTAGATTGTTCATCTCGCCGTGGATTTAGGTCAGTTGACCGAACCACGTTAAATATTTGTGTCTCTTTTGGTAGATTTTTCTTTTGTTGTCTGATTTATCGTCGTTGAAAGTTTGCTTTACTAGCTTCCGCTGACACCTGGCTTTTTTCGATCCTAACAATAAGTAAACTGCGCTGAAAGGAATCCAACTTAAGAAACACCAAAACCTTTGTTTGCATAAACAGCATCACAAAAGTAAAAGACTTTCTTTTAATTTTCCAGTTGAAGCATTCTTGATGTGAAAGACAGTAGCCAAAAATATACGATCTTATTATCAATATTATACAAACCATGGCCAAGATTTAAACCATGTTTTGACCTACATGAAAATACCCATAAGCTCGGTTTGGGAGCTGAGCAAAAATGAAAAAGAAAAAAGAGGTAAACTCCATTTTTTGATTTAGTTTTTTGAGAATCCATATGGAGTCAAAGCTCCTTTGGCTAGTTTACAGTTGAAGAGGTGTTTACTTAACAGTACTAAATTAAAACTAAAAAGGGACAAAAACAAAAACCATAACTACAGATTCATTAATTCAAGGAAAAAAGGAGTAGGCATCTCGTGTTCATGCAGGGTCGGAAAAGGGTCGCACCCTAAGGGGTCTGATATAGACAGTCTGACCTAATGCAAGCATAAGTATTAGTGACCAGTTTCACGGCTCGAACCCGTGACCTATAAGTTACACGAAAACAACTTTACCGTTGCTCCAAAGGAAAACGAAGAAAAAAATGAATAAAAGGAGCAGAAGATTTACCTGGATCTGTGGGCTGTTCTTCAGGTATTTCTTGTTTTACAGCCAACCCCATGAAATCTCTCTCCATTTCTTCACTATTCCAACTTCAGAAACTTGAAATATATCTGACAGAATAATTAACAGTTGTTCAGAGAATTCTTTGATTGATTGAGAAAAAAGAAAAGGAAATAGCTTCTTCTGGTGGAAAGAAAATGAAAGGAAAATGTGAGGGAAATAGAGATAGAAGGATTTAAAATGAAGCTTTAACTCGATTCATTTATAAAGATCCGTCACATATTTATTCTTTATTTTAATAATTTCATCAGTATTGTATTTGGTCTTGTGTATGAAGTTTTCATATTCTCTAGAAAAATATTACTAAGTTTTACAGCTGTATTAACATTGATGCATGCACAAGATTTTTTGAAGAAAAGAACTTTTAAGTAAATTATTTTTGTTAATGTTTGATTATTCAAAGTACATATTTTTTGATTAATGATACATGACGACTTATAGATCTATTATATTCTTCAATATTTTACAACAAATTGTAATAGTCAACTAAGTACATATTGAAGCGAGTAGCATCTTACTTATTCTAATATAATAGTTGAAGCCTTCACATTAAAAGGTATACAGTATTACCTTCTATCGTGATAGTTTATATATTGTTTATTTGTAAGATAGTAAAATAGTGTATTATTATGCGTAATAGTAATGGCACTATTTTACTGGAATCATTGTTTAACCGAAAATTAGATTTTAGGTCAAAGCTTGAATTTAGAAGAACTCGGGTTACTGATAATCGGGAAAAAATATATAAGAAAGAGATTTGAGAATGATATAATCAGAAAGCAAATTAATCAAAGTATCTTTCAGTAGTCTCCCCCTCTTTTTTGTTTGTGACTTTCCCTTTTATAGCCGTTTTCGGAATACAGACTTTACCTTTGCCATAATAAGACAATTATGGGTAATTAATGACCTTAAATGTTACGTTATGCAATCATATACATTAAATACATATTCTCTAACGTTTCTAGTATTTAATACTCATTAAATGCTATATCTGGGCTCTTTTTTGCTGTCAGATTCATTCCTTTGACTCTTCTCGATCTTTAACCTTTAAATGTCTTGAATAGGTACGAGCGTTGAATTATTTGTATGACTGCTCGTGCCTTCTTTATTTAACTTTCTCGTATCTGTTGTTGCTCGTGTCTGTTAACCAACCTTAATTCTTTGACTGTTTGATCAATCTACGTGTCATGACATGTCACCATATATATATAAATACAATTTTCCCCAATACAATCATAGGATAAGAAAAAAATAAGATTTTTAAAACTTATGATATAGAACAAGTACTAAAAGTTATGTAAAATAAAAAAACTAAAGTTAAATTATTTTTATAATATGAGAAAAATAACATTCTTTTCTTCATTAGGTAAACGGCAGAAAAGTTACTGAATCTAGAAGAAGTATCTAAACAAATTGACAATATTTGAAGTTGTAATTATCTAGGATTATATTGGAATAGATAGAATTATTTCAACTTTAACTAGAGATTTTGAATTTAAATTTTACAAATATAAAAAATTCTAGTGAAAAGTACTTTTCTGTTGTGTGAGCCTTACACGATGTTAATTCGAATGAACGAAGACTCCTATACGATATATGTTTAACCAGAAAATAGGAAATTTGGGTCAAAGATTAATTTTAAGAAGGACTCGTGTTACTGATAATCAAATTTGGAACAAATAAGAAGAATTGAAATAGACGATAGCTGAGTAAAAGAAAGCAAAGTAAATCAGTGTATTCCAATAATATTGTGTGTCCTTACAAATGTTATATCTCTCCTTTTATAGCTATCTCTAAGTAATACATTTTATTTCCTCTCATAATAGAGTCATTATGAGAAATTAATGACATTTAAGATAACGTTATAATTGGTAATCGTAACTGTTTCGTGAAGATTCTATAACATTTTCCATCATTGATGCTCATTAATTACGGATGATACGTATCTATACTTTTTGCTATCTAAGTTCATTCCTCTGATGCTTCTTCAAATAACCAGGAGATCCGAATAACCGTTCCTCCCTATTTTCTTGAAGTCTCTGTCCGTGCCTGTTAAAGCTCGTGTCTTTTCAGCTCTCCTTTGCCAGCTGTCACTCTTTTATTGATCCACGTGTCATGATATATCTTCACATAATTAATTCAATATGTTAACTTGATTTTTCCCAATACAAATAGTTCCCTCACTTGCCATTTATTCAACAATTGAATATTTGGGAAGTGGATCTCATTAAAGCGGGAATTTTTGCCGCCATTATAACTTCTTCCAAACTGACGCTTTGTATGTCACTTTCATTTAATGCTCGTGACACGTGGCATCTTTTGATTGGGTTTGCAACCCTTCAGCGTCTTTTAGGGCTTTTTTGCGGCTGCATCAATCACGAAGTGAAAGTTTTCATTATGACATCCCCATCATTACCTTCTTTGTTTGACGGTTGCTTCTGAGTATAAATATAACTTTTGTCTTGTTTTTCTCATAAAAGTTTCCTATCTTTGAATATTCATTCTTGTTTTCTTCCTTGTTCAGCCATGTCTTCTTCAAACCCTGATCCTCGTAAAGTTCTTATTGTGGATGAACTTCTTCTTGCTCTAACTAGGAGCAGGAGAGGAGGTAGGTTACGTAGCTTAGGATCAACGCCCATTCGAGGTTCGCCTTCATCTTTACCTAGTTCCACTCATCCTTCTTCTTCTAGAACCAGGGGTTCTCTTCTACATAGAGCTTCTTCAAGAAGCAGAGATTCCAATGAACCAGTTCGTGAACCCTTAGTAGACGAAATTGTTCCCTCTGAACTTTCTTTTTACTCCAATAGGGAATCGATTAGGAATCAGGTTTCCTCTATGTCCTCTCTTGATCGTGCTGATGTCTACCCTTCTCAGATTACCGAAGGTTTAATCTCTATTGTCCGTAGGGATTGTCATTGGAGATCTGACTTCCCCATCATAACTCCTAATGCAAATCAAAGGATCACATCCTACATGACTGGAGATTCTTTCGTGTATACATATCCTTTTACACTGAATTTTAGACATCCCATTGATCCTGTTATCATCGAGTTCTGTCATTTTTTCAATGTTTGTCTAGGACAAATTGGCCCCATTGTATGGAGGGTTGTTACTTGTCTAAGGCACTTAGCTAGCTTGGCAAATTTGCCTTTTACCTTTTTTCATCTGATCCACCTCTACTCCCCTAAGTTGTTCCGACATGGGATCTTTACTTTGGTGGCGAGGAGTAAGAGGGTTTTAGTCAGCCCTGAGGATGACAAGGACCGTGACTGGTTGTCAGATTTGTTGATGCTCCTATTGTACGATTAGTAGGTGAAGAAAATATACCATTCCCTGAAAACTGGAATTTTGCACGTAAGTTTACTTTTGCAACTTTCTCTCTTCTATTTTCCCACTTTTTCGTTTTGAAGGGGTTTGCTTTTCCCGTGGCTGTTTAACTTTATCTTTTTTCAGCAACCATGAGAACTGTTGATGAGATTCCCAATTTCCGTGGTTGGGTAGAGAAATTGTTGACTGTTGCTCCGATGGAAGGTAGATCTTGGAGAAACCTTTCAAACAGGTTTGGTTGGAAGGTTAAAACTCATGGTAAATATTTTAATTTTTTTTTTCGTTCATTCTTCCCTTAGAACGTATTTGACCCTTCTTTTTATCAGGGTTTCCTACTCGATCATAGCTTCCAGACTTTCCTTGGCAAGAGCTCAAGAGATAATCCTGAGTTCCTCATCGAAAAGGAAAGCTGACAAACCCCAAGATTCTGAAGAGGAAGAGGAGCGGGATGAGAGTTCCTTGGTTAAAAGGCCACGAGTTAGAAGGCGCGTTATTTCAGATGATGAAGTTACTCCTCCCCGTTATGTTCCCGTGACCGAGTCTGTTGAAGCCACCTTAGTGAGTTCTGAAGATGATACTCCTATGGCAGCTCGTGACTCTGATGAACAACTTTTTTCTCGTGGGTTTGATAGTGAAAGTTTTGATTTGGTGTCTGATGAAGTACCTCTTGCCTCCTTTCTCGTGTCTGTCCCTATGGAACATTCTTTGCCAGTTTTTACTGCTACTATTTCTGCTCCGCCTCAAGCTATTATGACTTCCTCTACAGTCCCCGCTACTAATGTTTCTCAAAACGAAGTTGGTTCTTCAAGTGGAGGTAGAGTGATGAAACAAATTACCATTGAGGTCCCTGCCGAAGGTAATCTTCTAAAGAAGTCAGGTCAAGCTGACGTGTGGTTGAAACCCCATTGGTCCAGTTGAAAAATCCAAGCTGGAAAGTCATAGCTCTCTGACTTGGATGAATGATATCGTGCAATCATCGTTGAAGGTATAAACTTCTTTTCATATTATATATCGTTTTTCTTTTACTAAGATTCTTATGTACTTCCCTTTTTTCTTTAGACCAATCTCGTTGGCACGGAGATGATGAAAATGGTTTCCCAGACGGAACAATTGATGCATGATTACCAGATTGAGGTAGACAACTGGAAAGAGCAGTATGACAGTCTTCAGCTTGAAATGGAAGTTTTAGAAGAAAACAAATGTACCTTAGAGCAGCAGTTGAAAATTGTGACTTCGGAGTTGGCAGTTGAGAAAGCTTCTTCCAATCAGGCAAGCAAGGATAAAGATTTCGTTGAGTCATCATTTGCCGAACAACTCTCCAAAGCCTCCGAAGAGATCAGATGCTTGAATGCCTTGTTGAACGAAAAAGATGTTTATGCAGGTGAACTTGTTCAAACACTCACTCAGACCCAAGACGATCTTCGTGTGTCTTCTGATAAGGTCAAATTTTTAGAGAGTTCACTTGCCCCTTTGCAATCTTCTTATGATGCTGCTTTGGCTGAGAGGGAGGAGTTCAAGAGTGAAATTGATCAGTGGGAAAGAGATTATGAGGCTCTTAAGGACAAAGATGTTGTTGAAGTGAGTTGGGCTATTTTGAATACGCGCCATGATACCCTTGTGGAGGCTAGCCAAGAGGGTTTTAACTTGGATGCTGAGTTAGCTAAGATAAAAGAAACCATTGAGAAAACTCAGCAAGGCCAAAGTTTTTCTTCTCCCATGTCCAATACTCCCGAGCTCGTTGAAGCTGACCCTAATGCGATAGATATCCCAGCTCCTTCAGACCAAGTCGAGGCTTCTGTTGCTAATGATGCCATTTTGAACCCTTCTCCTACTCCACAGTGAAAGTTTACTTGTGAAATTTGACTCTTTTTTTTTCTTTTTTGGTGGAAGTGGTGGTTTTACCCTTGTCCCATTTGGGGGTTATGTTTTGGTGATGACAAGTCCCCAGGTCTTTTCGGGGCTTTTTGTACAAAATGACAATCAGTTCATGACTAAGTTCCTACTTAGTTTAAACTTAATATTATAAAGTTTCTGTTTCATCTCAATTCTCTCGAGTTTCTGTTTCACTCTTTTTGCCTTGTTCTTTATAAGTCCAAGGTCTTGCTTTTTAATTCGTGGGTTTTTGTCTTACCCTTTTGACTTTTTGCATTTTTAGAAATGCTTTATTAATTTCATGGATCTTTGAATCAAACATAAATTTATAAAAAAGGATCCTTTTATATACGACACTTAATGAAGAAGACGTCTCAATTTCATAATGGTATAAACATACGGAAAAAGAAATAGGAACACACATGTTTCTTGAAATAACTTTGATAAAGTTTTCATTCGAACTTTGTCAAGTTTAAATAACATCTTACATGTATTTAAATATTTTCTATTACTCTTCCGTAACTGTTTTCTTTACAACAAATTTGCAAAAAAGAAAGAAAATCCAAGGGTTTCTTTATGACCCAGCCTTTAACCTAAACATCATAAGATTTTGAAATCTATACCAACGAGTGTATGCTTCACAGGTTTTTTGATCAGGCTTGTGTAATTGGCTCGTGACTTTGCTCTGAACTTGATATTTGATGAGTAGACTTTTAGGCTTGACTTGAATTTGAATTGTTTTTAGTCTTCTTTGCCTTCCTTATACATATATCATATGTATATTATATAGTCCCCCAAGTGTTTGAGCTTTAAAATATGAAATCTCGAGCACTTGATTATTCCTTCCATGCGGTCCTTTTCCTGAAAAGGAAAAACATACGTGACTCGGAGGTACGATTTTAGATGAAGACTGCTTAACCCATTTAAATTTCCATCAGAATAGTTGTAACCCTAGACCGGGAATTATGTTCTTTCCACATGTCTTTCAGGTCGTAATTCATCATTTAGTGTGGGCTAGCTTTTTGCCTATCATCTAAAATCGTTAGTAAAATTTTAATAATTCAAAAATAAAAATCGTTAGTGAGGATACCTGCCCGTGACTATTTCCTTTCCTTAGAAGTAGTATCTCTTTAGATGAACAACATTCCAATTTGAAGGTAGGATCTTGCCATCCAATGTTTCAAGCTCGTATGCTCCTTTTCCTGCGATACCATGAATCTTATAAGGCCCCTCCCAAGTTGGACTTAACTTTCCTGCATTGGCTGCCCTCGTAGATTGGAAAACCTTCTTAAGTACGTAGTCCCCAATCTTGAAGTATCTGAGACGAGCTTTCCGATTGTAATACCGCTCTATAACTTGTTTTTGTGCTGCCATCCTTATTAATGCAGCTTCCCTCCATTCTTCAAGTAAATCTAGGTTTACCCGCATCTCTTCTTCGTTCGATTCCTCAGTAGCTTGTGTATATCGCGTACTTGGTTCCCCTATCTCGACTGGAATTAAGGCTTCAGCTCTGTATACAAGTGAAAATGGTGTCTCTCCCGTACTTGTTTTTGCTGTTGTTCGGTAAGCCCATAAGACTTCGAGTAGTATCTCTGGCCAATTGCCTTTAGATTCTTCCAGTCTTTTCTTCAAGTTGTTGACAATGACTTTATTTGTTGATTCATCTTGTCCATTACCCACCGGATGGTAAGGAGTTGAAGTAATCCTTTTAATTTGCCAACTTTGGAAAAATTCTGTGATTTGTGTACCTATAAATTGCGGGCCGTTATCACATACGATTTCCTTTGGCACCCCAAATCGGCATATGATGTTCCTCCAGATGAAGTCTCTGACCTCTTTTTCTCGTACCTATTTGAAAGCTCCCACTTCTACCCACTTAGTAAAATAGTCAGTGAGCACTAATAAAAATCTTACCTTGCCTTTGGCTTGTGGTAGTGGTCCTACGATATCCATCCCCCACTTCATAAATGGCCATGGTGCAACGACTGGATGTAATAATTTAGTTGGCCGATGCATGTTGTTGCCATATCTTTGGCACTTATCACATTTTGCTACAAAATTTTCCGCGTCTTCTTCCATTTTTGGACAATAATAACCGGCTCTAATCATGGTTTTTACCAAAGATCTTCCGCCAGCATGATTTCCGCAATGTCCCTCGTGTGTTTCTCTCATCACGTATTCTGTTTGAGAAGGCCCGAGGCATCTTGCTAGAGGACCCCCGAACATTTTTCAATAAAGATTGTCTTGGTTTAAACAGTAGCGAGCAACTTTTTTGCGAAGTGTCTGAGCTTTTTTCTTATCCTCAGGAAGTATTCCATACTGCAAAAAATTGACAATTTCATTTCTCCAATCCCAAGTTAAATTATTGTAATTTACCTCGTTTTATCTTGATCAAGCATTGAATGAAACAAATGTATCACGGATGCATTTTCTGCATTTGTTACTTCCACGGAGGATGCGAGATTAGCTAAAGCGTGTGCCTCGGCATTTTCTTCTCTTGGTATCTGCATGACTTTCCAAGTTTGGAATTGCCTGACTAAATCCCGTGCCTTCTCCAAGTACTGTTGCTATCACACTTCCTTTTTCACACACCTACCCTGAAGGATAAATGTATAAGGGAGATTTTCCATTTAAAGGACAGTCGGAACGGGATTTATTATTAATATTCAGAGTCGCCACTTGGGAGATTAATGGTGTCCCAAGTCACCGGTTGAATCCCGATCCGAGGAGATTATGACTCTATTAACGGTCCGCGAATCAGAACTCCGAGTAAGAAATTCTGTTAACCCGGGAGAAGGTATTAGGCATTCCCGGGTTCCGTGGTTCTAGCACGGTCGCTCAACTGTTGTATTTGCTTTTATCTTATTTTAAAAACATATTCTAACCTATGTGCCTTTTATTTTAACCGCTTTTATTTTATGTCTTTTTAATAAGAATTGCAACGTCGTGAAAATGCGTTTCGAACCACGTCGCACAGTGCACCCGTGGTTGTCAACACATTCCGACTCCGTTGAAATTTGGATTTGGGTCACATAAATGTGCACCCGAGTTTAGGAAAGTATATTATTAAAAACGCGCCTAAAGTGACTAACGCGTTATTATCTTTGCGAGGGCCATGGAAAGTTCGCTAAATGGCTCGCCTCGGATTCTAAGGATCAAAACAAAGATTAATCAAAGTGAGGGCCGCGCAATTGTTATTTTTGTTTGGGCATGGCGCACCTCAATCTACTCTAATTTTTAAAAGGGGAAAATTAATTACGTTGGGAGGGCCATAAACTATTTGTAATCTATTATGGCTCGCCTCCCCTAATTGATGGACCTAATCAATTAAACATAGGAGGAGTCCGGATTCGGGCCCAAAGCGAGCCTTTTGCTTAGTGAGGACATGAGCACCCAAAATAGATGCCCTTTAGGCAAACTGGGCCACCCGTAGGCCCAATCTCCATAACCAAACATTTGTATTACCAATTCAATGCAACACTGTATAAGAACATGCGATTGAACTACACCCCTACTTCTGAATTTTCTACTGCCGAAAACAGATTAACTAGCTTAAGCCTCCAATTTTATTCTAGCACATAAACATGGGATTGAAGATTTGAATAATGGCACAAATTGTCAGAGCTAAAGTCAAACTCGTTTTTTTTTAACAAGCCTGGCCCAAAAGTGACCCCAGATTCGAACATGAGTAGTTTCCAACAATGCCCAAATCTAGCTCGAGTCTGCAATCCAACTCCAGGGCCCTTTTTAATTTTACTTCTTAAATGCAGGTAAATGGCCAATTACAGAAGTGAAGTGTTCAAAACTAAAAGAAAAACAAAGGAGGAACAATTGAGTTGCAGATTGTAAATCAGGTGGTCGTGAAGCTAAGACTATGGGAATCCTATGTTGAAACATGGACCACAATTCAAATAATGGTCAATTCATCCCTCTATTAGCCGCAGAGTTGATACACATACTATCCTGCAACCATTCTGTGTCCACACTGTTCCGAATTTACAATTTAACTAACATTTGGGACACGATAATAAACTTTGAAGATACGTGAAGACTGACACACTATGAAAAGTGATAGAACCTAACAACTCTCCAAATCATTTCTACGTTCACGCTAACATGGATTTCATAATTAAGCTACCCTACTAGAACTAAAATAACCCAAATAAGATATAGATAAGTCCCACAGTCCATAGTTAATTACAATATGAGAGTTTGGTTGCTTAAATGGAAATCAACTACAACTATACTGTGAGTAAGTAAAGGGATATGAGCATCAGGCAAAGAAACACAGAGCTAAAACATAATAGTGCTTCCATTCCATCCTCAAATCAGAATTTACATCGTGAAGGATTTAGAACTGGTACCTGGGAATTAGAAGAGAAAACAAGGAGAGGTAAGGAATCAATAAACTGCAGCAGCAGAACCCCAGCAATCACAGAGCAGACCAACAGAATGATTTTTAAACCCAAG